GCTGTCAAATCAAAAGAGAACAAAAATTGGATAATTGGTCAATTGGAGTGAAAAGAGAAGCTTTGAAAGCAAAATTGCATCATAGTTTCAAATGTGTTGCTTCTCATCTTCAGATTTAATGGTTCACATGAGATTTAATGGTTCATATGAAGCTATTTTTACAGGTGATACTGTAGGAGACAATTTGTAAATATTCATCATCCTTTCTGGAATGAAAGTGGAGAAACTCTTTTGCCTTGAAAAGGAGGGAAAAAAAAAGAGAATATTGTTCCAGCATGACTCCTGTCTATCTCCAAGACAGTCAAAATGAAATATAGAGAGGACTAAATGCTAATGCCTCAATAACCTTTTCCATAGAGTGATGTGTGCCACCTTTGATTCCCTCTGCCATATCATGGTCTAATTTTAAAGGTTAAAGTCGGTGGTTTTCTCCTCAATATGCCAGAGAGAAGAAAGATGACATCTGTGTTCCGTGCTGCAAGACGTCGTGCATTAAATCATGCAAAACATGAAAATAAAAGAATTTAGGTCACCGTCAGCAACAACTGCCAGACTTCAGAGAAACCCCTGAAAGTTTTGATGTTGGGATGATGTAATTCTCTCTCTGTGGTGATCTCTGTTGGGAATTGCGGGGGAGGTGTCGGGGTTCTTTTATGAGCGCTTTCTCTTTGAGAGGTTATGGGTATTAGCAGGATCCAGCTGATGCCTCCTCTTCCAACTGGATCACCCCCCCCCCCCCAAATCCCGCAATCCAGGCAGTGCCCCCCTTCTTACCCCTGTGATATATCTACTCTTTTTTAGCCAGCATTTTAAAGGGGCATTACACAACCTCAACAATGTGGACCAGCACACATTAGCACTGCAACCCTAAAATAATACAACGACCAACAGGAGGGCTCTGGTGCTCGGCGTTTGTGCAAAGGTCTGGGGATTAAACCGTGTTAAAAAATGAAATAAAATCATCAGACTGCTTAGTCAGACACATTTGTATTTCGGGTCATTCTTGACTATCACTTTTATTTCTGGGGGTCCTGGGGGAGCTGAGCTTTGGGGGGCTCCAAGGAAAAACAGTTTGCAACCACCAATATATACAATATAGCTGTTGTACTTCAATTAATGATTATAGTGGGATACTTAGAGTGATCTGATATTATTAAGAAAACATACAGTATGTTTAAATGATCTGAGTAAACAGGTAGACTGCAAACAGATTAACAGGATTTGGAACCTTCACAATTCTTGCTACATGGAAACCAGTAAACAAACCATTGTAAACTGCTATTTAATATAAAATGTTTTTGAGAATTGATATAGCGTCACAAAACCTGTTACTGTGCACATGTTCACCTGTATTTTGTTTCACCACTGTAAGGGAACAAGAAATCAGGCCAGAGGTCAAATGTGTAAAAAAAGAGCATATTGCTTTGATTAAGTTGAAAAGTCGGGGGGCGATGGACATGTCTAGGCTTGGGTATAAGGTAATACGGTATCTTGCAGTAATTAAATCAGTTTCATTATCGTTAAAAAAAACCACACAAAAAAATGCCTTTACCGAAGCAGTTTCAGCTGTATGATACTGGCGGCCAGGAAGGTCAGAGTCAATCAAATCTTTTACTCAGACCAGGTACTGCGAGTGAAGTATTAGAGCTGATGCACCAACACACAGAGGAGTCAGCAGAGAAAAGTCTCAGAAACAAAGAAGTGAAGAAACTAAGTGACATCCATCGCAATCAACCGCAGGAAAATGTAAAAACATAACACAAAAGAAGCTTCTCTTTTAATATCGTTTCAATACCGGCTTCCTCCCATAGGAGGCTCGTTAGGTGAATTGGTGACTCTAAATAGCCTGTAGGTGTGAACATGAGTGTGGCTGGTTGTCTGCCTCTATATGTTATCTCTGTGATTGACTGGTGAACAGTCGCCCAATGACAGCGGAGATCGGCTCCAGCCCCTCCGCTGCGACCCAGAACGGGACAAAGCGGTAAAAGATAATGGATGGATTGTTCTTGATATGTATGTTTTACAAATATAGCCTTAAAAAATAATCACTGACTATTTTCCTCTTAACAATCTAAAATTGTGACTTTTTGAAATATTTCTTAAGCATTCAGACACACCCACACTCACACACAAAAAAATAGCTTCCCTCCAAGGAAGGTTTTCCTTGATTATGTCTCACACTGAAAATAGAAATGATTGAATGCACTCATACATCACAAGTCAAGGCTGAAACTGAAAAGGTTTCTTTGCCACGCCGACATATTTTGCTGTTTGATTGGCATGCCCCGAGGTTTGACTTTAAGAAGAAAAAAAATGAAGAAAATCTGCACCAAAAAGACACAAATTATTCTTTTTTTTTTTTCTTAGGATGGCGACGTCTGTGTTTATCTGCCAGTAGCGTTGCCATTGGGTATTTACCTACATAGATGGAGAGCCAATTAGCATAAAGAGAGGCCAATCCAAATAATTTATCTTAAACTGCACTAGCATAAAGTAATAAACGTCATTTGCTTATTGTGGTGTATCGGTAACAATAGCAGCCAGCTGTTCCGCAGCTTATGACATTAAAAGAAGAGATAGCTGAGCATTAGCTTCCCTTCTCAAATGTGACTATTTGTCTTAAAGTAAGGAAACAAACAATCTAACTTTAAATCATGCCTTTTTGATTTAAATTTTGAATTAAGTGCCTAAAGTAAAAATTACATATTTCAACTTTCACTACATAAAGCAGCTCAATAGTATTTTCTATTTTACAGTATCTACAGAAAGCCAATGAGTTCCACAAATAACCATCCTGTAAAAGCCTACAATTTTATCGCATCATGGTCAGAGCTGGACACATGTCCGTTTATCAAAAAAATGTTAATTACCTCCACTTATTTATTAATACATTTTAACGTGAACATTCGTTTGAAAACAAAAACACTGAAACCTTTAATTTGTGGTCAATTCAGTTAACGCTAACGTCCAAACTCCAGCTCTTACATGTTAAGATGGATCACAGACATCCTATTTAGAGAGTTTAGTAAATAAAGTGATAAATGGCCACCTGTGCCCTGGGGGCTTTTATTGTGAAAGGCTTCTTGCCTCTGCATGACAGTAGGCCTACATCCGGAACGCCTCTAGAGTGAAGACGAAGATGATATATATATGAAAAAAAAAAGCTGATATTTGTAGATTTTCAAACAGATGCGTGTGTAATTTTGAGCTTTCTCAGTCATCATGGCCACTTATGAATTCAAATTTTTCGTCAATGCAAAACTATTTTTTTTTGTTGCTTTTTGGAATTTATGTTCATTTGAGTTAATTAGAAAAAGTATAAAGTAATTAACTGCTATCGATCGGAACAACTTTCAGAAAGGTTAACAAAGTAAAAGACTTTATTAACTGTGCCCACCTCTGCATTTAGTCGGGTATTGGCAGTAAATAGTCAATATAGAGGCTTAAACAGTTCTTCAAACTTACAAGTGTCAGGTCACGTCGATGTGTAGGTAATACAGTTTTGAACTCTTTGCTACAAAGATTTGTCTGGACTCTGGGTTGCAAATGACTGTAAAACAGGGTTTCTACTGTATTTAAAACTGCACTATATTTTTAAAAGTTAGATACTTCTCTCATAATTTGAAGTCACCATACTCTACTGATGAAAACTATTATTTTACTGAGCAACACAGAGACATAGTTTGTAGCTGCCTGCTGCCTGAAACCATTACTGTGTTTGTGTTGTTGTGTTGTTGTGTTGTGTGTGTGTAGAAAACCAAGAACTCACCAAAGTGATGGAAAAAGTCAAACAAACTAACGAGTCAGGCTTTCATTGCCCATATTCTCCGAAGTCAAATTACCTTCTCCTTTTTGTTTTTTAAATGCAGACTATTTCTGGTTCAAAGAAAAAGGTCGGTTTCTGCAGCAATCCTTTTCGATAATGTTGTTGAACCCCTTAAATGACTTTCTCATCCTGTTATTGGCCAACAAAAAAACAACTTTTTAGTATACTTGGTGCATAGTTTGATGGGGCACGTCTGCCCTAATTGATGACGCTGCAGCCAAAAAAGCCCATCTCACAGCTGCCAGCTTTAAAGCAATCTACTGGAGCCCTTCCAAAACTTGTTCTCCTCATACGTCATTTAGACCCCAGAAATAAGTAAGTACGAGCCCATGGTTTAAAAGTACCCCAATTCACCCTTAAAGGAACAACCTTGTTTACATGCTGTCACCTTTCCCCTGCTGGTTCAGCTGTCAGTCAAACTATAAATAATGGAACCTGACAGCAGCGCACCCTTGACTTCCATGCCTCACAAACAAACCTTCCACACAACATACCCTGGAGGTATCCCCGAAACTTTACACGTCTTATAATAACATCAATTCACTTTATTTCTTTATTTTTTTGACTGCAGGGAGGGAGAAGTTCTCTAATTTCAGCGGGACCTGCAAGAACATGCAGCTCTGACCAAAAGAAGCATCGCAAAGTGTCTCTCTGATTAAAATATCCCCGCTGACCACAGCGTGCACCACTGGCTCTTTCTGTGTGTGTGTGTGTGTGTGTGTGTGTGTGTGTGTGTGTGTGTGTGTGTGTGTGTGTGTGTGTGTGTGTCATTGGGGGGAGATCGGGGGCTGGGGTGCTTGCTAGTTGGCTGTAATCTGCTTGATGATGAAGATCCCCCAGCGCTCAGGGGACCTGACGAGGGAGAGAGAGAGGGAGAGAGAGAGGGAGAGAGAGAGAGAGGGGAGGGGAGGGGAGGGGGGGAGAAGGGGGGTGAGCGGGGAGGTTTGCGCTACTGCTTTACGCCAATGCAATCACGACCGTCGCTCACCACTGAGCCGGCAGCGCTCACAAACCCTCTCTCTCTCTCTCTCTCTCTCTCTCTCTCTCTCTCTCTCCCCTGAACATACTTCTCCCTCACTCTCTCATACATGCGCACACACACACACACACACACACAAGCTTCTTTCTCTCACTTCAGCACTCTCTACTCACTCTCTTGCTACTCTCTCTCTCTCTCTCTCTCCCTCACTCAGTCGTCATTCTGTTGCCGCGCGGACACGCTCCACTTTGGCTCCCGTGTTATTTATCCAGCTATTTCTGAAGCCGTTGTCACTCTCTCTCTCTCTCTCTCTCTCTCTCTCTCTCTCTCTCTCTCTCTCTCTCTCTCTCTCTCTCTCTCTCTCTCTCTCCAACTCAAAGCGCAGCGCGCGCATACACTCACTCGAGCATCCGTTTCTGTTTCCAGCGCGTGGGCTCCAACTGCACACAGCGAGCGGGGATAATGACAGAAAGGCACCAAAGAGGAAAGCAGGGTGAGAGAGGGAATTAAAAAGAGGAGTAAAAATAAGAAGCAAAGGAGAGAGAGAGAGTCTGCTCTTGCGACAAAGGTGCGAGGACAGTTTGATTCAGTGGATTAAACTGGCTCCGGCTCTGCTTCACAAAGTGTCCCACTAAAGGTAAGCGTGCCTCTTCTCTCTTCTGTTCCCGCCTGTGGGCATTTCACATGGCAAGTTTTCACATGAGAATTTTTCAAACTCCGCTGCTTTTCTCGCGTTGAGCAGTCGATACACATGTTAATAGCTTGTTGACAGACAACAGAAGGTTTCTTTTATTAGTGTCATTCCCTCGACAAACACGAGTCGGTCTAACAGCTGGTTAAGTGTGATGAAATGTGCTTCAGTTGTGTCCTTGACAACGTTTCAAAGCAAAAAGAAGTTGCGAGCAACAAGACTGCCCGTTGAAGTCAAAAGGAGCGCAGACGCCAAGGGTCTCTTTTTACCCCGACATGGCTCTCAGAATGAAATGAGAATTGAGTTAAGTGTCAATTAAAGCAGATTGGTTCACATGTCAGGCGACACTTCACTCTGGATGGGCTGACCCCATTTGTAGGTCTGATTTATTTTAATTCATCTGCATATAAAGAGGCTGTGTAGCTTCTTTTTTCTTTTCCAGCTGTGTGTTGGAGAGCAATCAACACTGATTATCACACCATGGAATGGCATGTGGTTTTGGCAAGTTTGGTCTAAACTGATAAACATTTTGACCACATTTCGTATATGTTCTCTTTGCTTTTACTAAATTGATAGTCTATTCTATCTCTCAGATAACTGTGTCTGCTCAGTAGATGTAACAGATAGTGGAGCATCTGTTTACACAGCACCCTGCTAACAAATCGGTTTTTAGTTCGAGCACACAGAGTCTGATGGCTCAATCGCAGGCTTGGGATTATTCCTTTTGTTTGCACACAGTGTATATCAGCAAGATTATTAGTTGGTAAAGCCATTCTTGTGCTGTAGAAGGGGGGATTAGAGGGAACAATCTGAGGGGATATCAGAGGCTTGACGGAGTCTGATTTGCTGAGAAACATGGGATCATGAATGCAACCTTGCCCCCGTTCTGCAGTGGCAGATGCTCATACGGATGAGGCAGAAAAGGGGGAAGTATAAGGACAACAAAGTATGGAAATGTGCCCTCGAGCGATTCTGACCTTCATCTGCAGTGATGTATGCATCTGATTGTTACATCAGCAGTCCCACTGCAAGTTGTTATAGCATCAAGTTTGCATCTTTTTTCAATTCTCAGGCACAATTATCTCAAGTGCTGTGTTGCATCAAATCCATCTAGAGCAACTGGCAGCCACATGGACAGAAACAGACATAATCCAAAGCCTCTTTGCCCACTTTATGGACTTTAAAACCAATGTGCACCACCAGAAATAATGCAGAATACTCCCTAACCTTTCTTAGTATTTGTGGAACATTATTTCAGAGCTGCCTTGTGAATTCTAGGACAGGTTTTTCAAAGTCAATCCCATCTTCTCCAGCAGATTAAATCAACCAAAAAAAAAAAGTAAGCCTTAGCCTTCCACTACTTTAAGCACATCTAATGTAACTCACTTTAGTGTCAGAGGGAACCGAGTCCTTCTTATCAGCGTTCAGCTGCAAACACCTGCTTTGGAATAATCAAATTATGCTGCAAGGAGTCCACTTCCAGAGGAAAAAGAGTGGCTGGACCCTTTGAGTACACAGAGGCTACTGTGCAGAAAATGAGCATTCAGGGCATGCAGCCACCAACCACTCAGGTATTATAACTGCATTAGAGGGGATAAATGAGGAGACACGCAATATACTTGTGGTATATTAGGTGAGGACAGTGATACTGCCTGGCTCAGGTGCACACCATGCCAGAAAAACTATCATCTATCCAGCGACGAAGTGAAGCTGTAGAAAGTATTTTGGTAATGCTGTCGACCGGTTTGCCGAGAAAACTGACTTTTCCAATCAAATATGTGAGGTTTTCTTTTCACTTCTCACTCGTACAAAAGCTGAACACTTCATGTGCTGCCCTTGATGGGTGGAACTTGTCTGCAAGGACAGCAGGAAGCAGCATCCTATCATATTGTGTTATTGTGTTACATGAGATTGCCTTGTTTCACACTGGGCAACGCTGCCTTCGATTCACAGATTTTATCAAGTCTCATTTCTCGCTGGCCAATGAAATTACTCGAGCGTGTGCAGTTTTCCTCTAATGCATTTAGTAACTTGACTCGTGAGTCATACAATTGATACACTTTGACAATTTGTGATTAATTTATCTCGAACAAAAAGATAGCAGCACTTTACTTCAGGAGACAAGACCTTTAAGATCCATGCTCATACATTGCTTTGCACTTAGTGATGGATTATGATTCATTGCATGAGCTAAAAATAATAATTAAATACGTTGGTTCATTTTCAACATAATTAACAAACTAATGTATCATTAAAAAATGTGAATACTCATATAGGGCAAATCAAAACCTGCAACTGCTGCAGCTCAGGGGAGCACATATCAGATGTTATCTGGGAATATCAGTCCATTACATGTGTTTTAATATCAGCCATTTTATCCTGATAGGTGCTAAATAAAAATAAAAATGTACAGATCATATAATAGAGAGAACAATGAAAGTGGGGTTATAAAAATGGCATTATTGTGTACTTTGTGGAGGGAATTGTGCTCTGACACTGTTGTTTTTAAGACTCTTGGCAATGTCTGCAGCGTATGTAGCTGATCAGATGTGATTAAAACTCTAACTGACCATTTAATAATGTTGTTTTTATTTCACTTAAAGAAATCTGCTAGTTAGACAGTATCAGGTTTGGCCTATAAATCATGTGGAAAGGTGTATTGCAAACAAGCGTATACATACATGTATATATCTAATATCTGCAGGAATTTTAAAAGTGAGTGATTTTTTTATTTCTCACACTCACCTTGATAGTCACAACAGCGCAGAGTCATTGCATAGTTGGAAAAAAAGGTTTTTTTTTTGTTTTGAGCTAAACAACATGAACCTCCCTCCAACTGCTGCATCTTTGGTTACTGGTAATTCATTTCTCTTTTATCCGTCTAGAAAATCCTTTATCATTGTAGCTCTAATGCAAGAATTGTTTCATCCAAGCTCATACATATTCTTGTATGAACTGATGATGTCTGGGGCACTGTGTCTGACCAAATACTCCAAAGTATCGGTCACAAAGTTTGAAATGCTCATGTGGGACCAGTGGTGAATTCAAAAGCCAAGGCAAAATGTTCTGTTAGCGATTTCCTTCATTGCCTGACAGATACAGATCAGCCACAGCTAGACAGCAAGTCCACTTGTCAGGTTGAATCTAAAGTCTACCCACTCTCAATGCCTTTCTCTCCTCTGACTGTGTCCATGTAAATTTAATGGAAAGACTGAGTGCTTCACGGTAAATTACAGTACATGTCCACTAAGCTGTCGTCATCTCTCTGGAATCCGCTGCACTGTTTGATTAGGGCGAGCTGTTATTTATGGACTGACTGCAGCTTTTTTTTTTTCCCGTAAGCAGAAGTACGGCGCTCAGTCATGCGGATATGCCACCTATCACTGGGTTTTGAAGCAAGTGTCCATCAAGGGCCTTGGTCTTAAATAGAATCAATACTTGAGATTATTTGGAGTCTCCAGACTCTCTTTACCTTGGGCTCTTCAATCTCCTCCTCTATTCGATGGACTCATTTTGACATCATCCCGCTCTAAATGAGGTGTGTCTGAGTGTGCATATTTGGATCTATGAGTGTGTGTATTTCAGGGAGAGCAGAGTGTGTCTGTCTGTGTGCATCTCTGCAGCACCATAAGATGTAATAAGCTAACTGTCAGAAACTTGCGTGCACAGTTTAAGCATCTGAATGCTAATCAGAGAGCGGATTCGGCTGTCTGCAGGCTCAAGAACGATCTCAGATGAAACTATTGTACTTGGATAAATGTGCTTTTGTGGCAGGCGGCAATTTCTCCCACAGCAAGCTGCACTCTTGCCAAGACCCCTGCAGACCCATACAACAGGGCTCTCCCTGGCTCTCACACAATCATCAGCAAGCGTCCTAAACATCTCGGATTAAAGTCTTGCCGTGATGGATGACTCTCAATCTCCAGGAGATATTGAGCACACGCTTCTTCTCTGAATGATGGGCGACTCCTCTTCACTTCACTTAGCAATTATTTATATAGATTTGTCTCTGTTCACTTGTCAGCTTTTTTGGACATGCTGTTTCTTCCTGTCTGTGGGTAGAAATACTCCACAGAGGGGAGAAAAAAGGAAAAAAACCCACAGTGTCTGCAGCCGACTGATGCTTAGGCGTCTTTTCTGGAAAGGAAGCAAATATAACTTTCCCTGTGGTATATCCGTGTTGTTTGAAGTAGTGGTAGAAATAGGAGTGGGAAGGATGCAGTTACCTGAAGACCACATTTTGAAACGAGGACACAACGCTTTGGCCCCATGAACACACTACAGACACTGTCTTTGGGCACAGTTTGAACACAGATAAGAACTTGTATATGAGCACGGCTTTAGCTTCTGTTAGAATGGCCGCAGTACAGATTTCCAAATAACATTTTGTCATGATTGACATCGCAATCACATCGCCTGGTTCAGGTGAAAAACCTTGGACAGTTACTTTTTGCTTTCTATTTTTACCATTTTTTCTTTCTATTTAAAAAGCTGTTATAACTAAAAGGGGAATTTAAATTTATAAATCGAAACAACATCTTCGTGCTCGTGTCTGACAAAGTGTATTTGAGTGACAGATTTTTAATGTTCAATTGTTTTTACAGTGTTTTTAATTTACAGTAATTAGTTTTAGTGATAATGAGGCGTTTGACATTAATTTGGCTCCTTTTAATAACCAATTTATGAATGAATACTGAAGAAGTTCTTACCTACAAACAACCTGAGTTCTGAGATTTCTTTTATTTCTATTCAAACATTATTTAACAAGGTAATTAACCCATTGAGATTTAATATTGCTTTATTTTCATTCAGACTCTATACCAGACAGGTTAACAGTAGAAGGAAATTACATTGGCTCAAGATGCTCAACAAATAAAAAAATACATGCATATGTAAAAAAGGGAAAAATAGAAGAAATACATTATTCTGTGAAAACACAAAACATG